TAAGAACTAATGATAAATGGATTTTGTGAACAAATACATAGATATAAAAGCATGCATGAGTAAACAATATATGATTAATATGATTTTATACGAATAATCTGTAAGAAGTTCTATTTTAGCCCACTGCCTCCCTTCTCTGCAAAATGGAATTCAAATTTCGTAATTAAATTAGATTTTTACAAAAATAATTATGATATAAGGTATATGTTATATATATTATAACATATACTAATATTATACTTAATATTGAAATATATACTTAATAATATGAAATACCTACTGTAATAATATGAAATTATTATAATATAAGGTACCACACTTCTATATGATACTGTGATATGAATTTACACTTAATAATTGATGGAAAAAAATTTGAGTTCAACTAATATAAAACTTATTTAATAATTTAATTAATCTCAAATTCTTTTGAGACAACTAATATAAGATTTATACTGTGAAATTACATATCACTGCTTAACCAAGTGCCACTCTCAATTCTTTAATGAACTTAAGTATGCATATTTAATAGATTTAAGGTATTTGCCTGAATTTCATTAACACTTGATCAGAATGATGACCTGACAAAAGTCTAATGGACACGAAAGCACAAATTACAGAAGTCCACAAAACAAACCTCACTATGATAACTGACCACATGACAAATACCCACACTGATGAAAGCCCATATTGATAAAAATCCATACTGACAAAAACCCACACCAATGTATATGCTATGTCGAAAATAATATTTTTTCCCAATTTTTTTTCAGTTAGACAAAGAAGATTCATGAAAAAAAATTAAATAAAAAATAAATTAATGAAATTAAATTAATAACAAATAACTGGAAAATAATTAAAGTAATAGAGCACACATTTTTAGCTCTGGCTGAATTAAAAAAACACAGTCAATCAAAATAAAATTAATATAATTACGAATCTGTATCTATCTGTGTAACTTAACATGACAAAGGGCCCTTGCATAAGTCGGAAAAACAGAATGCTGGCCATACTGCATCTCCTGATTCTACAAAATTATAAGGGGCATAAAATGCATGTAAATTTTCATCATGTACAGAGAATAATTTATAAATTATTTAACAGTTTAGTAAATTTTTTATATAATGAATATAGAGAATTAAAACCGAAATTTTATTTCAACAAAAGAGATTAAATTCTGTTATGAATTACTATATTATTCTATTATGATTCTAATCTATTATGAAAGAGATTCTATTCTATTTTGGTTAAGAAAACATATGTGTGCATTATCATAAATACAGTACAAAATCTGAAATCCGGGCTCGTCGGAACTTCGGCGATTCCAGATTTGGGATTTTTACGGATATTAGATCATCAGTTTAAACCTAGTAAGATGGCATGTAGAAATTATAAAATTAAAAATATGAAATCGTGATTTATGAAATAATGAAGCATTTATGATCTAAAGGGTATCAAAATTGGGGAAAGTGCAGAATCACCCACTGCTTGGAGCGTTTTTAAGAATTGCACATATTCGGTATACATATACACATCGACATATTTTCACTTAAAAAAAATCCCAGATTTGCACAAAAATGGCAATGCGCACTCCCTTGACTTTATTCATGTACACATTGACCTATTTTCACTTAAAAAGTCAAAGAAAATTGACAAAAATCCAATTCTTCTTACTCTTGTAAAAAGCGCCAAACAAACGCCAATCAAAAAAGCGGGCGATTCTGCACTTTAGCCTCAAAATTTACAAAAAAACCTTAATATTTATTTGTTTACCTTATTAAACATTTCTTTCAATATAAGTTGTTTCATTTTTTGCGCTAATACTTTCTCTTTAATTCTGTAGACAGACATAATCTCTTGTTTAGTTACATAGTTGAAGTCCTGTACTGCTGCTTCGAGAATCCGATTATTTGTTAACCGAAATTTTCTCATTTTCAGTAACTTCTCTGTCACTTTCTTCTATCGGTAGCGGTATTTTCTGGATCTAGACACATACTACAGATTTCGCCATTCATTAATTTATTGATGATTGAGAAACATTTTCATTACAATGAAAAACTTCTTTTACATCAACTTCATTAAATACCACTCCTCCACATTTCTTTACAAAATCCGTTAATTGGGAAATTTCACCTTTATTTTGCAATATCTGAAAACCTTTAAAATTAGTGGCTATCATCATCAAATTTAGGTATCCTTCACTATACATATTTGGCTATGCATCATGAGCTTGGCGACTGATGACAAGTTGTTCCATTAAATTTTATCTTGCTTCTATTGAGCACTGAGACTGAGGCCTTAGGAGCCCTGGCACTGGTTCTGGGTTTATGTGAATAACAAATCAGTTATTCTTAATTCAAATAGCCCTGAATGTAATCTTTGGGGCCATGAGTATCATCAACAAATTCTATTTTAGCATATGGAAAGAAATTTTAGGTAAATTTTTCCTCGTCAATATTTTTCAGCGCATTTAACATAAATTTGTAATCAACTCATTTTCAGTTTATTTCAGAGAAAAATTCAGATTGTATTTATAAAGTCAATTACTTTTCTAAGTATACTCTTTTAATCACCATAAGAAAGCACACATTTTTCCCTAGAATACCAAAAAGATCACGGGCGAACAAATTGTTTCATATTTCAAAATTTCAAAAAGGATATTAAGAGCATAGGGTAAAGATATTGCCTAATTTCAACTTGTAAAGAAAAGAACATAATGAAAATAATTTTAAAACTTTTCAATAAAAGACTAACTATTGTTTAGAAAACTTAAGATATCAAAAAAGTTGGTTTTTGAGAAAGATGAACATTAGTTTGTTATAAGTTTGTAATGCATTATATTTTTTTAATGAAAACTTCTCAAATATTCAGTTAATCGATTATGAAAAAAGCACATGAGAATTATTACAGACATCTCAATGGTAACTGTCTCTATCATGAAAGTTAACATAGAAGTGCAAGTTGGAAAAAAATGAGTTGTATTGTAAGAAAGGAGGCTGAACAAAATTGTTGAGCCAATTAATTTTTCTGGGATTTTCATTTTTAGCATAGTAATTCAAAGATAAAGTTCAAGCGCTGCATGTTCCAAATCAGCAGGCAAATGTGCACTTTCACATGAGCTTGGAGCCTCTCTGTGCAATGTCACATTGAGAAACAAAATAAAAATAAGAGAGATAAAAATCAAAATCGCTTTTTAAAACAAAAGAGATTTTTGACAATGGAGATTAATGATTTCTGTATATATTTCTTGATATTAGCATCTAAACTGATTTCAAACAATAACAATTAAATAACTGGAATGCTTTTTTTTAGTCAGCATACCTAAGTCCAAAAAGTTACAACTTAACAATTTAGTTCAAGAACTAAAAGTGGCTTGAAATATTCTGTCAGAACTGTAAAATGTTCCCCTCCCCCGTTCTTTGATTAAATACCATTTCCCCCATTTTTTTAATAATGAAACATAATTATATTTAATCTCAGCCATATAACATTAAAAATAGCATGTGAGAAACTTGATGATATTTTTCATTTTCACATACACATACCAAAATGACATAAATAAGTAAATAAATAAAATACATTTCCAGATTTATCATTGAAACATTATAGCTAATCACTTAATCAGAAAGCATAAAGTTTGCTTGTTACCTAATAAAATAAACAAATAAAGTAGTGATCAAATATAAAAGCTGACATATTTCTGAAACATTAAAATTCAAATCTGAGCACTCCATTTATTATAATTACAACTGTAAACACATTTTATAGTGATAAAAACCACATGTCCTTTTGATTATGTGGGCTTTCATCAATGTGTGCTTTAGGTTTCATCGGTGTACGTATATCACATGGGCAATTATCACAGTGAGGTTTGTTTTGTGGGCTTTTGTTCAGTAGACTTTCAGTAGACCCGATCAGAATATATATATTCTTAATGAATCCTTTTTAAAAAAGGAAAAGTTACTTTTCTTTATAATATGTCACTTAAAAAACTATTTAACATACTATTTTAAACATTTGCTAAAAAAATATAAGTAACTATGTATTTTGCCATTGACCATTTCCGACAATGTAGCCAAATAAGCAATTTATCATGGATAATGCATAAATATGAAATCACAGCACATTCACAAGAATTTCACTTTAGTTTTGTATAAACCTGATCATCAATAAGGTAGGTTAGGATTTACGAGGAAATTAACCATTTTTTTCTTTTTTTTTTAAAAAATGGATGAAAATTTGGGACCTTCTACAGAATAGCAATACATGCAACATTTTCAAATTTGTGCATCTGGTTATACTGCTTGACACACATACTCAAAAAATTTCACAGAATTCATCAAAATGGTGCAATAAGACATAGAAAAGTGCAATACCACTTTGATTTGCATTTAAGTAAATTTAATGGTGTTGAGTTCATAAAGAATGGGATAGTTTGTTGTTATTTTATAGTCCAGTACACATCTAGGACTGCCAGAATTACTGCCACTAATTTTAAAGAATTTCTTTGCCAAATACTCTTGAGCTTGATGATTGAGCTTATTTAAGTTTATATGTACCATATTCCTAACTCGTATCTGTTAATTATCTAATTAAATAAAGAGCTATCTGTTATTGTCTAACTAACTAAAGAATAATTTGTTAATTCAAACTTCCATCAGAATCCTTAGCAGAGGTTTGATGAAATCTCACCAACTTTCATGGTCATATGGTCATGGTTTTCATATATGAATACCAAACATATTAGAAAAATTACATAATTGATCAAGAATGATCAAACTCAACAAAGAACATATTTTGCATTACTGTATATGAGCTGTGATACAGAAAAACAAAAAATTAAGCAATCTGTTATACAATGATGTAAATAAAGAAGGTAAATTTCAATTCAGAAGTTACTACATTTAAGATTTTATAATTAATTCCTGGAACCAAAGTTTCAGACACATTTTAAATAACTGAAAATTCCAGAATAAAACAAATACTATATTAAATAATACTAATGGAGAAAAACTGGACGTTTTAATAATTTAGAAAAATGGAATACACTTTGGAATATTTTGGCGTATGTACAATATTTGCTGATAATGCTAATAGTTATTATATATTTGTAAACCATAGCTGAAAAACTTTTTAATCATCCAAGGCCTCTTCGGTTTCAGTATAGCTTATTTTCAGACATGAGGTAGAAGGAATGAAATGGTATGAAGTCCAGTCCCATGGAGCAACTGGTGCAAAAGGAAATACAGATGTAATGATGGAAGAGCCCTCTTGAATTTGGCATGAATCAATTACATCAGCAGAAATAGTGTAATCATCGGATGCAACTCTCCTGTGTCTAGATGGAGGTTTCGAATTTTTAATTTGACTGGATAAATATTTTATCTTTTTTTCCAAAGCTTGAATTTCACTGCTGAGTTTTAAATTTGTCAAATATAATACTGGAGAGCCACCACCAAGTATATGTGCAAGAGGTATCCATCTTAAATAGCACTGATGCCATAACTTAAGGGATTTTATAAAGGGATCTATCTTCAAAAGATTTTCTTCACTTTCATCCCATACAATAGGCTGAACTTCATATTTTTTAATTACAAGTGGGCGTCGTTGCGACTGACTAGTATCTTTTAGGCAACTAAAAGATCTGGGTCTTTCAGTTTTTAGAAGCATTTTACTAGGAGCAACAGCTGTATATTTATTCAAAATGTAAAGTGGGTTTGAGAAAAGTCTTAAGTCACTTCGTAGAAACTGTTTTGACCACCTCCAAACACTTCGTAAGCTGAAATTATTGCTAGCACCACGGTTGCAAATAGCTTCCGTACGGCTTTTAGTATTACTAAACAAAAATGTATCAAATACACTGATGTGACAGCTGTCCCATATTGTAGTTAAGTATGTTTCTGAAAACTCAAATACTGCAGGGCACTGCTCAGTAAGTTGCCAGACACAGTCCAAGAATAACAGAAAAATAGGAGACTAGAAAAGAAAAATATATCTTAACTTTAATGAATTATATAAGATTGGCATGCTTCTCAAGTACTAAATATTTCATTAAAATTTATACGCATTATTTCAAAACATATCTGATTACATTTTCATTAAATAATAAATAAATAAAAACTGATATAGTTTAAAATTTTATACATATTTCACATAACTATTTACCTTAAAATACCATTATTTCATATTATTGAAGTAAATATTGTTTTGAACTAGAGATCAGCAAGAAGAAACTGAAAATTACTATAATACATAATGATTTGCAGAAAAATAAGTAGCTGTAAAAGGCCCAAAAAGATGTAATTAAACTGGAAAACAAAACAAATTAAGCAATCTACTACTATATACCGATGTAAATAAAAAATATAAATTTTAATTCAGAAGTTAATTGCATTTCAGATTTTATAACATGAGAATATGAGTATTAAGTAGTTCCTCCTTAAAATATGAGTATTAAGCACGAGATATAATGTGAATGCCCAAAATCACTCGAAAGATGTAGAAGATGAAATTCAGCTAACTTTCCTTGAACCACAAAGCTGATTAACTGACCATTCTAGATCTTGAAGCCATATTTATATAGCATTGCACAGACTTCTAGAAGCTTTGGGAAAAACTGCTCCAAGAGTTTTAAAAATGCTTATTCCAAATCTTCCAAAAAGGTCACCAAGTTGATAAAAAATTTCCAAATATTGCCAAATTGGTGGCAAGGCCAGATAAGTTCCCTAATTGAGCTATCCTTATAATTTAAATGTTGTTAGATTCAGAATCTACAATTCTACATAAGAAGTAAATATTGTTCACTTCCTGTATGAAAATACACAATTCAAATATATACATAATATATATATATATATATATATATATTATATATATATTAACCATAGATCTCATATTAAAAGATTTAAAAATAATAACAATAATAGCACCAAAGATCATCAACTTACAGCTATTCTTGAACATTATTATCAACATAATTTTGATCACATAGAAATTAACGTGCTTGATATTGTTCCTAACACCAAACTTCGACTGTTTAAGGAGTCGATTTACATACTTCAAAATAAGTCACTTTATCCTTACGGACTGAATGCATATCTCAGTAATACCACTAATAGGCAGCACAAGATTTCTATATATGGACAATTCAGATTTTTTAGCACTACTACTAACAGAGGTACTAGAGGAGGTGATGCTAAAAACAAAAAATTTTTTTCGTCACAAGATCTGAAATTAATTATTCATAATCTTAATTCTTACCTTGGACATCAAGACTTCGTTAAAAATGCCATAAAACTTCTTCATACCTTTAAGAATACTACCTTATGGAATCTGATTAAAACAGTAAATCAACCGTCTCAATGCTCCAAAATAGTCAAGGATCTTATTTTAGACTTCTGCAATTTTAAACTAAAAAACAGTAATTTCTTTCGCAAAAAACTTTTTTGTACTATTCAGTTCAAACACCCTTCTTACGAGAAGTTCAAAATTCCTAGCATTTTCAAAAAATATCAGCACTTGCTTCCTAACCAACCTGTCCAGATTCAACCCTGTTTTAAATTTGAAAAAACCTTGGGTCAACTAGTTATAAACCACCACGTTATAAAAGATAATAGCACTTGTTACTGCCAAATGCCTGTCTACAAAAAATATGTCGATCCTTTCCACCAACATATAGTCACAGGAGATCTTAATATTATAGAAAATACTGAATTACGTAACCTTATGCAACTTGGCACCAAGTTTTGTCCTACTTTCAGTCTTAATAGACACGTCTGCCTCAAACAATTCAATACTAATGATCTAGATAAATTTTATTATTATTGCTAGTACAAGATCCAATTTACCCACTACAAACTTTTCTTGAATGGAAAGCTGCACTTATAAAAGAATTTCAATGTTTGCTTTTCAAGGCGCCTAATTTCAACTCTTTACACAATAAAAAAACGCCTGGAGGATCTCATTCAAAAATTGCAACATAACTTTATCATCACGAAGATTGACAAAGCAAACAACAATTTTAGTATTATTTGACAACACTTCTACTACAACCTTCTGCATAAAGAGTTAAATAACACTTGCACTTACCAAAAAATAACTTCCAGTACTCAGATTCTTCTAAATAAATTTAAAGCACTACATAAAAAGACTTAAAATACAACCCCAGAAATATAACAACAGGTTTGCAAATCTCTATGCCTTACCGAAATTTCATAAGTCTCCAATTAAATTCAGGTTCATAGCTAATAGTACTAAAAGTTATCTCAAAGAAATAGATTATCTCTTTGCGCAAAAACTTCGTATGATTCGTGAACTAATCAATAACTATGATTTTAAAGGTTTGCATTGCAACTGGATGATCTCTAGTAATGAACAAGTTATTAAAACTCTGAATTCCCTTCAAATAGAACATATCCAATGCTATGACTTTGAAAACCTTTATACATCTCTACCACTCGAAGAAATTTTTACAAGTTTACTTGTTCTTCCAGATTTATTTCCACAAATTTCTACCATTCTCAGCAACGAAAAATGGCAGCTATTCCTTACCAGTGTTCTCTTCAATAATTTTATTCAGTTTGACAATTACATCTATAAACAAGTTCAGGGAATACCTATGGGCGGGAATTTTTCAACTTCAGTTTGTGAATTATTCCTGTTCACTAAAGAACTAACCTATGTACGTTCACTCAGAACGGAAGAAAGTCTCTTTTTCCAACACATCTATAGATATATTGATGATGTCATAGCATTTAATAACTACAACAAAATAGAAAACGCTAATATCTACCCTGCTTGCTTAAAACTTAATAAAACCAATACAGAACAGCATGATACAGTCTACCTTGATTTACATATTATTGATTACCGTTTTATTAAAGTTTACGATAAAAGAAGAGAATTTAATTTTTCCACACTTAAACTCACTAACTGGAATTCAAATATTTCCAAAAGAGTAATAATCAACACAATTTATTCTCAGCTACTTAGAATGAAAAGAATTTGCAATACTGCGGATCACTTACAAGAAGAAATACTATACTTCGTAACTATTTTAAAAAGTAACCAAATACCACATAAAATAATTAAAAATTCCCTGACCAAAGCTGGCATTAACCTTACCTAATTATAGATTTTTTGAGTTAGATAATGATTTTTTAAACCTAAAGCTTCGGACGGTTTAAGAAGGATGACTAATTCAGAGAATCTATTGTAAAAATGTACAGAAAATTCTCGTTTATTCATTCTCTTTCCTCCTAAAAATTTTGGCACTTTAATCTTAAATACTATTATGTACATATTTTTAAATTTAAATTTCTTTAGTGGCCAATATTACTGCTTTTATTAACAAATCGGGCTTTTTTCATTTTTCATAGTAGCTTGATCGCCCGCTAGCTTGAAGAATTACGACTTTTTTAACAAATTACTGTTTTTTCCTTTTTCTCATGCTTAATGGCCAAGTTTTTATAGTTTTAGCTGAATTTGCCATTTTCACTTCGCAAGAATTTTTTCCATCCTTCTACAAGCCAAGCGCCATTTTTTGAGCTCTTCACACGGTTCACGAGGTTTCCGGCCCCCTCCGATAACAGGAGACGAGTTACAGATAACGAAAATCACTTCGCATTGGCTAAACGCCCACAACTCTTCGCTCCCCCCTACCTACGTCATCCAAAAATAAGACGCTTGAATTTAGCAGCCATTTTTCTGCATGTTTCCAGAGGGACAGCTTTACATCGCCAAAGGTCAGTTTTTTTGTTTCTTTTGTTACAACTTTTTCTTGGTCTTAGCAAGACCCACTGAGATGTTCTTTTCTCAATTTTATTTTATATTGATTATTAACTACAGGTTTTCTTACAGTTTCATAAAATCTACAGTTTTTAAAAATTAAATTGTTAATCTTTAAGCTTGCAGGCCCAGCCCGAATATATTTGTATTTTAAGGACTAATAGCTCATTGCTATTTATTTTCGTTTTGATTTTAATTTTAGACTAGATTTAGAAAGTTTGATTTTGATTTACATATTTTAACACCTTAATGTGTCTTTCTGAGCGGACGCGTCGGGAAATTGGAACGGAGAATTGAGACTATTAAAATTTCCAAGACACTTTGTCAAAAATTTTTTAGCGAAAAAGTTTCAATTGTCTGTTTCGGCGAAACGCGTAATGGGGTTAGCTTGATTCGACGATCAAATAATTGAAATTTCCCTTGAAAAGCCTGTTTAGATGTCGAATTGGGCTAATTTACCATTTTCCGCTTACTTTTAACTTTTTCTGTTATTTAATTTTATTGTATTTATGTTTTACATGTCTAATGATTTGCTTTTCATGTGTATTAATTTTTGAAAACGTCTTTAACCTTTTGGAGCAGCAGCTCTTGGTAACTTTTAGGCGAGCTTTCTACAATTTTTATTTTTTACTTATTTTGCAGCATATTGCGCAAGATGTTTTCTTGACCAAAATTGTTATTACTGCTTTGCTTGATAAATTATATATATATATATATATATATATATACAAAATATATGACTATAAATTCAATTACAAACAAAATAAAAGCCTAAAAGCAACAAATAAACAAAACACAATATTTCAATATAACAACACTTAAATAAAAATAATAATACAATCAAATGAATTTAAGGTACTTTTTATGTGAAGTACCTGCCAATTATTTTGTATGGGGTGTCTTAGCAAGTGTTTTGGTTTCTCTTTCACAGGCATTAAGAAATAACGCAGGTGCATAATGGAAAAATGCCAAATTTAAGATATTTATAGAGATTTATAAAAAATATTTTCTTGCCAACTCAAAACATACACACACCAAAAACGAGTCTAGTGGAAGAATCTGTTATTAAATTTTAAGTAGTTAAAATAGGCCAATTAGTTTAAAAACTATGCCCCAGAAACTCAAGATACATAACATAAACAAAGAGATATTAAAACAAACTGTTATAAAAAGCAATACCAAAAGATATG